CCCGAATCAAGTCGTGATCTTTCGTCGCTGACGAGAATTCGACAGCAGAAAATGGAGTCATTCAAACGCAAGTGTTTTGCCCACATTCCTACATGTCTTCCACAAGCGCAGGTGGCCCCAGGGCAAAGACAAGTTGCGCAACATTTTATTCCAGACTTGTTCCACCTTATTTGAATCTAAAATGAAAGAGTTGAGAGAATCATGCGATTCTTCGTCAAATTCCGAAATCGTTAAGCAACTTTTTTTTCCGAGTACGACCAACAGGTATTTACAGCTATTTTTTTCCGATGGTACTCGAAGTCACAGGTGACTTTTTCTTTTAAAGAACTCGGAGAATTTATGACCAAGAATCAAAACTGGTTCTAAAAAAAACCCAAGAAGAATGGCCAACAAGCCTGCAATACTACGTGACATTTAATCCGCCAAAATTTGATAACAGAGCAGATTTTTTATCATTTTAAATCACAAAGAAGCCGCGTGGGATTCACATGCCGTATATTGAAAACGAAAAAAAAAAAAAACTCACGGAAATAGTGCATTATCAAAGGACTTTTCGAACCTTGGTGGCCTACACGGATTGCGAGATCACTATTTCCTAATTTTTAACGTTCATTGCTGGCATTTTTTGCTCCGAAAAAACATGCCGTATTTTTTTCGGCCACGAAATGTATTGACAGAGAACTGAAATGGAAGCAACGTGTTACTGTCATCTCTGACACGGGAAAAAATGCCTTCCACATCTAAGTGATGAAAACCAGCAAAAAATGTAGAAATCTGGATTTCCGATTTTTTAAAATATCAAGAAGCTCATGATCCTCAAGTTTTTAAAGAGGAAAAATTACGCCATGTGAAACTTTCCAACGGCGTTCTTCAGGTAATAATACAGTCATTATCTTCAAGTTATTTTCAGACGCTGAATTTTTTGAAGACAACATACTTTCCTAAAAAATAAATGGCAGGAATTCTGATTCAAAAAATTAAACAAATATTCTACTACTTTTCGAAAGACAAAACTTTATCTCCCTCCAATTCAATTCACGGCAATGACAAAACTCAAAACAGCTGTTCATAAAATTCTTTTCCACGTAAAATCACCCTTGCAAGAAAAATCGTGACCTCCACGTCACATCGAAAAAAAAATTAAAACATTACAAGAAAAAAGGCGCTTATTCACATTTATAACTTGAACGGCTGCTGGTTTTCCACAAATAACCAAGATCACGCATACATTTCTTTGAAGAGTAACCAACTACCTTGTCGCCAGTTACTGAAAAACTATGTCTATATGAGGGAGTTGTTGCCAAAGAGACATCTTGCTAAAAAGAAACCCGCAGTTCCCCAAGAAGCGGGCCCCGGCATATAAGGTGGGTGCTATTGATGCTGTAGCATTAGGCCCACCAGGCAAATAGGCCCCCTGAGAATTCAAAAATTAAATTCCACAAGCTGGTGAATTTCAAATTTAAAATTCCGCGAGCTGGGGAATTCAAACTTTTGAGAGAGTATGAAAAGTTTTCAAAAGCAGAAAAGAGAAAAGTATGAAAGATTTTAAAAATTAGGCATCACTAAAAGTTAAGTTCGTGTGACGTCACACGAACTTAATTTAACAAAAGATACACGTACGTGTATTTCCCAAATATACGTATTTGGGAAATTGTCCTTTGGTTTAGTGCCTGAACAAGTACCAACTCTCTTGTCAATCATTCCTGTATTGAAATATGTCCAGGTCTATTATCAAAAACAGGAAATGCAGCGTCACAGACATCATAGGAAGGAAAAATACAAACAAAGATTTCAATTCCAGTCAAGCCCTGGTGGTGGTATAAAAGTGTCTCTCCTGTGAGTCCTGTCCCCACTTCAAAAGCCTGTGGTGGCTTCAAAAATCTTATGAAGAGATTTTTATCATGCTTGAAAATTACAATATTTTATTTCTGAAAAAATCAGTGATTTATAAACAATTGTGATGATGTTGAAAATTAATTTTTTTTAAATCATTCTCTGCTGTGCCTCCTTATCCCCCTCCCCCCTTTGTCATTGTTCTGGGTTCCATAAATCCAAATGTCCCTTTTTTGCAATGAAGATTCTTTTTGAACACACCCCTAAAAAAATCTTTTTCACCTTGCATCCTGGGAAACAGGACGATATCCCCCCTGCAATATTCTAAATTCTTTACATATCCCTGTGTATCTTGTAGTGGGAAAATATGTCTTCATCTTGAATTCTTGCCAGATTTTAATATAAGAAAATTGACTGTTTCAATATGTATTTTCTAGAGTGTCCGTTGCTCTATACAGTCTATATAAATATTTTGGAGGTAATCAAGATATTTCCAAGTTGCTGAATGTTATTTCTCTTTGCTTTTTTTGGAGCCTCTCACTACATTCCAACGTGAACACGGCAAGTTTTTTTTGCAATGATGACACTGTAAAAAATTAAGAGAATTTCTAAATCTTAATCAAACTTTTTGGCAGGATTGGAATAAATTATTGTATTGAACTTTTACCTGACTTGAGCATTCATTCAGAAATGCAATTTTGTTCAAGTGCTCATGGGATGAGCACCACATTTTTTAAAATATCCCAAGTAATCCACACAGCATGGGTTAAAATTTGGTTAATTTGTTAATAAATGGAATATGTGGATGTAATTTCGACATGCAATCCAAGTTGAAATTGAAATTATAATGAGAAATCTCTGTTTTTAGCCCAGACACATACTTCATCATCATGAATTTCTTGGGATATGTACATCATTTGTGCCATGAGTTGAACAACTGATATTTTTGTACCCATTCCCATCCTAACCAAACAATTCAAATTATTATCAAATGCACTGAGTTTTATGTTGGAGCATATACTTGGAAATTTGTAATTTAGATACATTTTCACATTGTTTTTGGATTTATGCTGCTGTTAATAAATGTTTAATGAAGGCAAGGTGGGGCATTTTCACTTTTGAGGAATTCAAGTAATATGTGTTGTAAAAATGGCAAGTGGGGGGGGGGGGGGGGGGGGGGGGGGGGGCGTCGGGCGAAAGGTGGGGCATTTTCACTTTTGAGGAATTCAAGTAATATGTGTTGTAAAAATGGCAAGTGGGGGGGGGGTTTGGGGGTTTCATACGCTATCTGTAATATTTGAACACAAAACAGCCTGTTGGCTAATAATTCAGGTTTATAATTTGTTACAGTA